CATCATATCGCAGTCTCACACCTAGCTGACACAAATCACGTTGTGAACGTGAATAAGGCATTCTGTCCCATGCATAGGACTCTTTATCTTCTGCTGGCCAAAGTGGAAGTAGCAGGGATTCTTCTGCATCACCAACCTCCACGAACACCGAAACAATTTTTGCAGGCAGCTACGCCCCGATGGCCCACCCAGTCATTCCAAGTAATCTAGATGATGAAATTTTCTAATTGATAGTTGTGATAATTGTGAATTCCATATCCAGTCTCAAGATGAAATAAGCCTCGAACAATCTATTACGTGAACCATTCAGTTCCCAAAACAATTGCATCTGTCTGCTGATATACATACATATATATATATATATTGTGATTACGAGTTTTTGAAAACGAGCTTGCTTGTTGTTTAGTTCTAATTGGAACTTGCTCTATGCGACCAATTAAATAATTATCACTTGTATCTAGTTTTTCTCCGGCTTCATGCAACAGTTAAGTTCATTAGGAAAACAGTAAAGTGCCCAAAACCCGTAGGTCACACTTGAGGTACACCCAATGAGTTTGAAATAAATCGTGTTGAGTTATGCTAAACATACTTTTTTACTCAAATTTCACCCGGCTGATGTATGCACGATACCGGTTGTATGGAGCAGTGGGGCTCGCAAGTTAAAGGGGTTCTGGCTAGTTTGGATAATGTAGTGAATAATTCACTATCTCAAAAACAACTTGCAACCCTAAGTAGTGAGTACAATACTGTTTTACCCCTCCAGCAAATGTCTTCTATGTATTCATATTTGCTACTCCGAAGTACTGAAAGCTGTTCATATATTCCGATGCGAAGTCGCGCACCCATCTATCGGATTGAGATAACGAAAAGGAAATAAAAGAACAACGGCAGTTCTGCCATTTTCACTGACGGATCTGGGAAATTCTGTGGTTGGCCACAGTTTTTCACTTCGGTTAGAATCTTTTAAGTAGATTCACTTCCACTTCTCACTGCATACCCAATGACATTTATTCCTAAGAAACAACATATTTCCAGAAGATGAACGCAGGACAACCCCAATATATGGTATGCAATATCTAGTTGCTAGAGGTATATCAATACACTGTTCTTATTTTAAAACGATGCAGTAGACTGAAACCAATTAACAACCACATAAGGCTAATTTTTTTAGAAAGAACAATCGATACGTGTGAGTAGAGTTGCTCAAATCAGAAGAGACACGTGCGGGTGCAAAACTCAATGTGGAAAAATGTGTATACGTGTGTGTTTGTGTGCAGGATAACCACGTTCCTTAGAAGCGGGATAATGATGATGTGTAGAAAAACCAGTCATTGATGAATTCAATGCACCAATTACTATTGCTGTCGTAGGTCCATCAGATCATCATCTACATCGCTTGTGTGACCTCTGGTAACTCACAGTGCATGTAACCTGAATCAGCCCACTTAGCACAAGGCCCACTGAACGACCCCTTTACCCTTCGAACAGTTTAACTCCATTGCTGTATAAAATTGTCACAGTCCGTGAAATAAATCATATCTCAATCACTCGCACTTACGCGAACACATGATTGCATTTTGGGGATTACTGTTCTATACTTGTACACTGTTTTAAGTGCATAACGGCATTGTTTTCAGTATTTGCTTTCAGGGTGAGTGCATGAGTGGATAAATACAATGATAAGGTATATGTATGTATGTATGTATGTATGTATGTATGTTTGTATGTATGTATGCATGGATGGATGGATGGATGGATGGATGGATGGATGGATGGATGGATGGATGGATGGATGGAGTGTCGTCTATCTGAGTTTAACAGAAGTAAGATAATATTATTTGGTTGAGTAAACAGATATTGATCGAACTCGTGCGTTAGATCTTATTCTCCCAATATCTGGTGCTCTGCGTCAAATCTTTTCTAATTCTGAGCTGTCACCTTCTGAATGCCTAAAATTCCACCGTGACATTGAAGGTCGCACCAAGTCAAATTGTGATAAAAGAAAATTAGAACACCACCGCAGGAGATAAAGTCTGTAATAAATGCCTTTCTCCCATAGCTATCGGTATGCCAGTATGATATTACAAACGGAAATATATGTCCAAATTTAAAGTCATGTCACACTGGTTCGATCAATATTTGTATCATCTATACGTTCAATATTGACTGGTTAAAGAAGGGTATAGGGGGCTTCTCGATTACGATGATGTAGCTATTTGGCCTGATATGAGTTTCACACTTTGACTTCAGAAAAAAACAAATGTTACACTTAAGTATATGAAAACGATAGTGAATGTCGTCCGCTGTTCGATAAATATTTCTGGTTAACTTAGTCACATCAACGCTGATAACAATAAATTTCCACTTTTCGTTTAGGTGATACCGACTGCATTTTCAATTACTTTATTATAGAGGGAATGGCGGTCAATTAGATGCAACCATTTGTTGAAAAGAAGTTTGGAAGGCGATTGGAAGGGTGGGGTCGAGCAGCCGACCTGACTACAAGTACCACCGACATTTGGAGGCAGCTTGGTGACCATCATCCACAATTTATAGACCGCTTCGGTTACATGAAGGCTTTTCCATCAGTCAAATTAGCCCCACAGCTCTTCTAATGATATCTCGAGCGCTTCGTCATTTCAATTCTGGTACATGAAGTTGAAGAAGGTAGTTTAAAGTTGCAGATTCTCGAACATAGGAGTTGAAAATTTTATCTTTGAACAACTAAATATTTTGCCCGAAAATTGAAAATCGAAACTTTTGTTATCATCAAAAGCGTGGCTCACTTCATCCTGATACTGATGTAGAGTTATCGAACACTAAGATGAATCAGGTGGTTCCAGGTATTTGCCTCACCGTTCCATCTAATTGGTTCTTAGAAAAGAATATAGTTGGTCCTCAATTTCGGAACCTAAATTAACTGGTATTCACTTCGCAGTGGTAAAGTAATAGTTGCAGAAATATTTGAAGTTAAAAAATGGATAAAGGTCTACCCATGTGCAATGTGCAACCAAGTGGTCCCACTTGGATATAACATAATTCAATTGGACGGCGTTCAATACTGTTTTTTGTGTCATTTGAATTATTGGCATAATGAGAATACTCTTTGGATTCTTCTCTAACATTATGATAACATCGTACCTCAGGAAAATTAGTTACAAGCCTGTCATTCATGCCACTAATAACGTTTAGAACATAATTGTCAATTCATCACTGTTTTTGTAATCCTGCAATGATAAACCTACCCCCTCCTTTCCCATAAAACACATTCTACACTATTCCAGGATTCCCAGTGGCACCGATCCTGCACTAAGCAATTTGATCATCAGCATGCTTGCATTCAATCCAGAAGACCGTCCTGATTTCGGTGAGCTATTCAAATAGAAACGCATTGAAATAATGTCAAGCATGTTTCAAACACGTTTCCATCCTCTCAAAGTCGCTCTGATTCAGATCTGATAACTGTCATGTTTCTCTACCCCCACTCTCTTCCTCTGGGAAATATACGTGTTAAATAACCAGTCTCGTTGAC